TTTTTTTTTGATATCTCATCCCTTCGCCTTTTCATGAGACTCTTCCAACCCTACATACCTGTCCTTCTGCAGGATAGTAGCCCTGCCCTGAACCTGATCCCACCACTGGGCCCTGGGAAGAGCTTAGCACAAGGATTGCTTTGAAAAACCCCCAATATGACAGTTGCCACTGGAGATCCTGCAGATGAAGCTGCAGCTCTTCCCGGTCACCCGCAGGACACGTACAACCCCGAGACCGACCATGAGTGCTGCGAGAGGGTGGTCATCAACATCTCGGGGTTGCGCTTCGAGACGCAGCTCAAGACGCTCGCCCAGTTCCCAGAGACCTTACTAGGGGATCCTAAAAAGAGGATGAGATATTTCGACCCTCTCCGGAACGAGTACTTCTTTGACCGGAACAGACCCAGTTTCGACGCGATTTTGTACTATTACCAGTCCGGTGGGAGGTTGAGGAGGCCGGTTAATGTGCCCTTAGACATCTTCTCGGAAGAGATTCGATTCTACGAACTGGGGGAAGAGGCGATGGAGATGTTCCGAGAGGATGAGGGCTACATCAAAGAGGAGGAGAGGCCGTTGCCCGAGAACGAGTTCCAGAGACAAGTGTGGTTGCTCTTCGAGTACCCCGAGAGCTCGGGCCCTGCCAGGATTATAGCTATTGTCTCCGTCATGGTGATTTTAATCTCCATCGTCAGCTTCTGCCTGGAAACATTGCCCATTTTTCGGGATGAGAACGAAGACATGCACGGCAGCGGGCTGAGCCACCTCCCCTATTCCAACAGCAGCATGGGCTACCAGCAGTCCACCTCCTTCACAGACCCCTTCTTCATCGTGGAGACACTTTGCATCATCTGGTTCTCCTTCGAGTTCCTGGTGAGGTTTTTCGCCTGCCCCAGCAAGGCTGGGTTTTTTACCAACATCATGAACATTATAGACATCGTAGCCATCATCCCCTATTTCATCACCCTGGGGACGGAGCTGGCCGAGAAGCCGGAGGATGGCCAGCAAGGCCAGCAAGCCATGTCCTTGGCCATCCTCCGAGTCATCCGCTTGGTGCGGGTCTTCAGGATCTTCAAGCTCTCCCGGCACTCCAAGGGGCTGCAGATCCTCGGGCAGACTCTCAAGGCCAGCATGCGGGAGCTGGGCCTCTTGATATTCTTCCTCTTCATCGGCGTCATCCTCTTCTCCAGCGCCGTCTACTTCGCCGAGGCC